GGTTCGGGATGGTCAATTGGGAGGACCAAAAATAGGAGAGGGGGTTTCCAGGCCGGATAGGAGACCAGCAGGCCGTGGCGTGCCCCCCCGAGGAGTCTGCCGGTACCCCGTCCTTAACGACCCCCCACCGCCCGGTCGGCGGTGAAGGCTGCCTCACAGGGGGAGCAGTACCTCCAGCACTGTCGACCAGACCCAACGCACTGGCGGTCTAACGGGAGGGGGCTAAACCCTCCCTGTCATCATAATGTCCCCCATGTTGGTCCGAGACGTACCTGTGCCCGACATTAGTTCTGCTACTAGGGAGTGCGAACCAAACCGGACCCGTAACTAACTTCGTACCACCCACTTCCACTTCCACAGCAATACCCCCTATAAGTGTTCATGGGGCATCCACCTGGGACTTTACCAGAATTATTTTTCCCTTTTTCGTATCTCAGTTCCCGCCTAATCGTCGAGCGGATGCGTTGGAGACTAAAACCCTTGCTTACGGCCCAAACGATGATCGCCCCCGATACCCCACGCAAGTGTCTCGCGTCCTTTTACTCAACACGCACCAATCACTCTCAGCTCTCGGCTGCTGCAGCTTCCCCTTTGCCTGTTCCTGTACAGGACTATCCCTGCTCTGGGAACGTCGTAGGCTGCGGGGTTGGGGCCGTGTGGTGGTGGTGAGGGAAGGGCAGCTGCTCCAGGAAACCTCCTACTCTGGGCTGGCACGGGTCTTCCCGCTGAGAACGAGAGTCATATATCCAAACCAAATGCCCTAAGTGAAGCCGTTAGTCTCATCTGACTGACCCAAGGGTTGGTGCTGGTATGACAGGGAGGCTTCCAAGTGTTTAAAGCAGATGTCATGCTTTCAGTTCATGTTTCAGTGGGGGGGAGCAGACCCATGTGAGACAGTATCAACGGCTGTAAAGGCAAGGACACACCAGGACGATTACCGGCGTTGGTGGGCGTCAGGCCGACGATGAGCGTCGACACGCCCTACTCATATTGGTGTGTCCCGCACCGTGGGGTCTTTTCAGCCGGGCTGACGCCTTTTCGGCCGAAGGCGGCCACAGGCAGTCGGCAAAAGAAATCACTCTGATTGGCTGTTCAGCTAGCGAATCAGTGCATGATAAGCGAAACGGAAGTGAAGGACCCAAACAAACTATTAAGAAGACAAATCTGAGATTTCATTTAACTCCAGCTCTCGACACAGGTTCGGGAAAGCCCCATGAGCTTCTCGTTGTAGAGTGAAAATGGAACGCACACGCTATTTGTTGTTTGTTTATGTCACGCAGTCTGTTCTTCTTCTCTCGGTGTATCACGCAGTCTGTTCTTCTTCTCTCAGTTATCACGCAGTCTGTCTTCCGGTTGTTGCCTCTTTTTGAATGACGAATACACACTACCGCCGCCTGCTGGTAAGGAAAGTTATTGCCACTCACGCATGCACAGTTCGTACATGCTTCTTGGCCGTCGGCTGAAGTCTTTGGCGTGTGTTCTAGTGCGACACATGGCCAAAACGCAGAGACGTGAGGCAACGCAACAGTTGGGGTCCGTCTGTGTCAGTTCTTTGTCAGATTGGTGTGTCCGGGCCTTAATGTTCGTGTGCCTCCTGAGTCTTTGGAGGAGGGGCGGCAGTTTGAGGAGTGTCATTCTCTCTCTTTGATTTAATTATTCATCTTGAATTATTAATACAATTTAAAGAAGGCAACAATTAGAATTTAAAATGTGGATAAGGTGAATACTTATTGTGTGTGTGTGTGTCTGTGTGTGTCTCCTTATGGGAGATAACTGTTGGTCAGAGGGCAAAGGAGGACATGCGGGCAAATTATTCCCCAACAGCTATGACAATAAAAACACAATATATTGTGCAATCCTCCTGAATGTAACCCTTTGCCAAAGAAAATAAATATTTAATTGCCATTCATATTGCCTTTAGCAGGTTTAATGTTGTAACAAAGGAACTGACACATTCTGTTGTTGTTCAGTTACTTCCTTGTTTGCGAATGCTGAACTCTTCACAGGTACTGCCTGCTCTTTAAAGCACATGTAATTATATCTTTGTGTGGGTCTCATGGAGCTCTGTGTTTTCTTTTAAGGGGCCTTATAATGCTTTTTGGGTTTTCCCTTTCCTGTAGTCTGTTACATAGGTCTTTATGAATGTACTGTAAATGGTCTGCAAAGGCTAAAATCCCAAAGTTCCCCTCCAGACAGTCCCCCTGACTGAAGAGCCTTGATTGGAATATTTTGTTTACTTCCTTAACATAATGACATCACTACATAACACCAGCTAAATAGCGCCCCAACACATTGTATATAGGCTAAGGGGTGGGACATATCTAAGCGCTTCACCAATCGCAACAGAGCCAGCTAACCAATCAGAGCAGACTGATCTCTGGTTTCAGACAGATGGTGAAAAGAGTACCTTTTTGATGTCACAGTAGAGGCACCAAATACATATGTGAACCTGGAAATTAGCATAATAAAGCCCATTTAACAGTGGATACCATTATTTCCCCTAGGCAGTTTGTATTAAAATCATTACAGAGGAATGCACTATCAAACTATGACTGGGATTCTACATCCGTATGCTGTGCCTATCACCACCTTTTACTTTCTTTAGCTTTCCTGTCCTGTGGTTTAACGATCAGACCATTACTTAATCTTTACATCGAACATTTCACATTCTTAAACCCACTCAATATTATAACCAACAAAAAACATTTTAAGAAAAGGACATCACTTTCCAATTAGAGTTGATTACTTTACAACGTGACTGTAAGGACATACTGTACATTAGCCAGCAAAGGCCAAACATGTGCTAACACTTTGACTATCTGGAGGTCATTTTCAACCTTGTTTTCATCATTTGCAGTAAGTATACTTATTTTTAATCCAGGTGACTTTTCCTCTTTCTTTGGCTTCCTTTCATCTCTTCTCAATCTCAAATATCTCACAGCATGCGTGCTTGCTTCAGCACTGGACACTTACAATTCTTATTTTATCTTCACCACTTTTTATTCAGTTAAAACTCATAGTAGGGCCTTTCAAGCTAGATGCAACTTGTGTCAACGTTGATGTTTCCCGCCCAATTTGTTAAATGTTCGGGAAACTTATTTTATTTATGGTCAGGGGCCTCATGTATAACGCTGTGCGTAGGATTCACGTGGGAAGGTTGCTTACGTAGTAGAAATCCGAAAACTAGGTACATACATTTTCCGATCCACCGAACATTGCGTACCGGCGAGGAAAGTGCGTACAGCACTTCCTACGCCGGTTTCCCTTTTATAAATCCAAACCGACTCGAAATGCGGTGCAGATTTTGCGGGCTTCACGTAACGGCCATATTTGCCTATAAATATTCAAAGAAACGCCCATTCATTTTGACTGACTTTATGAAGAAGATGGCAGGAAATGACGACAGAACAGCTAAAAAAAACATCTCACACCGTGTCAGATTTTGGTTTGGTGGATGCAGTTTGAACCAGAGTAGCAGCATGGAGGTTGGATCGTCACCAAAATAAATAAATAAGTGGTCCGAAAAAGGTTAATGACAAAAAAAATCCTCAGGCAGTGTGTTTGTACCGGGGACAGGAGACACCCCCTTGATGAGAAACTGTAAGAAATGATCGGGGAATCCCTCCGGAGTGGAGTCATGACGACTGGATCTGAGCAGCAACTCTATATCCACCAGTTAAAGGAAATACAACCAATGTGTTGAGTTATATTAGCTACAATTTACCACATATGGTGCTCTTAGTTTCCATACTTCCTGTGTTTTACGAGCGACTTATCAAGTCTTGGCAAACGGCATAAAACACGATTAAACATGTATTAAACATATATAAAACCATGCTCGTATTTTATAAATCGCAAACATTGCGTAGAAACTGGCGTACGCGATTTTTTTGAGCGTATATCCCTTTTTATAAATGAGGCCCC